TGTCCAGATAAGTGATACTGTGGGGCCAGAGGCAAACTGGAAAGACTAAGCACAGTCTAAAAGGGAGCAGCTACTGCTGCACTCCAGCCTCTGGCTGCCTTTGGGAATGTAGGCCCAGGATAAGACAGAAGCCCATTTTTTGTGTTTTTAAAATATATGTTCATGTATGTATTTAATTTGTGAGGAATTACTACTTAGATTTTTTTATATTTTAAAAAACATTTTAAGGGACAAAGAAAATGTACTTTGATCATATTTAACTCCTTGGTTCCATCCTATAAACAGATAACCAGAGCCACCAAGCTGAGGTGGGTGAGGATTAACACTTCCTTCTAATCTAAATGGGAGATTATAATGGAAATCAATCTTAGATAAAATTCCAATGTACATGCAAACATTTATTAAAAAGTTCAAACAACTCCCTTTATAAACTGCCCTTTAAGATGCTCTCCTTGTAAGAAAACTTCTCTAAAGGCAGATGTAACACAGTTCCTGAAGCTGAATTCTAAAACCTTTCTTTTTTTTTTTTCTCTAAAACCTTTCTTGAAGACATAGGAAAACTTATGGATTCATGGACTTCTATGCTTTGCTTATACAAGAGTAGCAAGGATCTCTAAAATATTTCAATCAATTCATATATTTCAAATACTGCTAACCTCATAAGTAAGATCCCATTTCTAATATTTACCATACTGTTGAGCAAATCAAAAAATAAGAATCCATATCTGATATTTACTACTTGGACCTATATAGTGGTAACAGACATCCTTGCAATAGCTGTTTCTGGAATGTGGACTGAAATGTTGGTACCTGTCCACTTCTGAAGTGTGTATTCTCAGTTTGAATTGAAGCTTAAGCTAGTACATGAATAATATCACAGCGTGTACACCAAAGGAGGGCAGAGTATGTTAAAGTGTCATACCAGAGTTACTGTTCTGGACTGTGGAATTCCACTTTGCAGTCTTTCTATAGTATAGGAATTCATGCCTACTTTCTAGGAGTTTTCATTCCAGCATCATTTGACATGCATCATTTGAATAAGGACAATGGATAGAAGAACAGAAATGGAATTTATTCTGGGAATTCACTGCAGCATGTGCAGCCAGATGGAAGAATCAGTGACTCCTCTCCCAGGCAGATCACAAAATTGGCACCAAGACAGGCTGTAGTAACTGCCAGGCAACTGTGAGCCTCCCACTCAGCTAACAGCAGTGTTATCTCAATCACTTTCAGTTTGCCTTGCTGATAATTTTGAAATTAATGAAGTAATCCAAGAAACCACTACCACTACTTTCTATTTAAATTCTGAGGAAGAATTTAGTTTGTAAGGGGAAAGTGATGACAATCATGGAAGAAAGTTCATATTCAGTTTAGTTTATTTCAACATTTATTGAATGTCAGGCATTGTGTTGGCATTGGAGATTCAAAAAATGATTCAGCAAATTACAAACAGCACCTAGCCTAGGTTGGGTGCATCAGGGAAAATGTTCCAACGCTGGAACTGAGTCTTGGGGAATGAGTGGTATATGCCAAGTTATGGAAGAAAAAAGGTGATACTTTGGTAGGGGATAGTATTTTAGGCAGCAGAGGCAGTGGGAACAATGTCACAGAAGCATGATACACAGAGTGCACTGAACTGCAAAATATTTGATACTACTGGAGTTTGAAGTAAAAGGCAGAGAGTACTGGGAAATGATACTAGAAGGAATGAAGGAGGGAAACAATTCTAAAGGGCCTTCCTAGTTATGCTAAGAAAGTATGATTTTGTCCAGAACGAATCACTTAAAGGTTGTAAGTATCAGTGACATGGTTAGGATGCATTTTAGATAATCCCACTGTGGTTGAAATTGAAATTAAATATAGATGGTCCCTGGCCAAGTAGAGGCATGGAGATCAATAAGGAGGCTATCTTAAGAGTTTAGGTACTGAAAGTTAAAGGGAGCATTTTATTTTTTTAATTAATTAATTTATTTTTTTAATGTTAACATTTATCATTTTTTAAAATTTTTTAGACAATATTCGCTTCACCCCACCCCCTCAGATTGAGTCCCCATAGAATTTCCTTCCCCAAGGCACCCCTGCACCATCACCACAGTCCCGGGTGCTCCTCCCTCCCTCCCTCTGATCCCCTCCCTCCTCCTCCCCTGCAGGATGTCTCTGGTTTATAATTGTCTGTTTTTGCTTTGTTGTGTTTTGTACTGTTTTTTTTTTTATACTGATGTCTTATTTGGTTCCCCTATATTCCTGTTACAAGTGAAACCATCTCATATTTTTCTTTTTCCTTTTGGCTTATTTCACTGAGCATAATTCCTTCTGGCTCCATCCATGTTGCTGCAAATGGCATAAGTTTATCTTTTTTGATTACTGAATAATATTCCATTGTGTATATATACCACATCTTCTTGATCCAGTCATCTATTTTTGGGCCCTTGGGTTGTTTCCAGGTTTTACCTATTGTAAATAGTGCTGTAATAAACATAGGTGTGCAGGTGCTCTTTTGAATCACTGTTTTTGTGTCCTTTGGGTAGATCCCTAGTAGTGGAATTGCCAGATCTTATGGTAGCTCAAAGAGAGCATTTTAAAAGGATGGGAGAACACTTGAGCATGTCTACAGAATGAAGGAAGAATCCAATGGTGAGGGGCATTGAGGAGACAGGTAAGGTGGTTGAAGCTAGAAATCCAAAGATCTAGAGCTGGAGTAGAAATTAAATTTGGCTTAATTCATTCATCCACTGCATCTAGCATGTCGAAGATAAAAGAAAGAAGATAGGACCTTGGTATCAGGCAGTGAATGGAGTATCAGAGCCATGTGGGGTGAGGTGGTGATAGTAAAGTTTAGGAAAGTAGATTTAAGTGCATTTTGAGAAAAGAAAAGTTGTGATACTCATACTTCTGAGTCTTAAAAAGTTACGAGATACTCCAAAATAAAAGCCACACTTTACAAGTGCAAATTATTATAGTTAGAAGATAGGAAGGCTTATTATAGATAGGAGACTTTTCTGGAATCTTTGCTCTGGACCCAAAATTCTGTAGGAATTGTGCATTTGACTTTTGGTGAACCATGAACTTTATAAACAAGTTTATGCAAGTCAAAGAGTTGCCCTAGAGTCACCCAGATTGAGTTGAGGTTTGGGGAAAATTGTAAGTCCAGTGAGAAAGATCTTGTTAGAAGTTATTTTCAGAGAAAAAACCCCATGTATTATCACTGATTGAGAGAGAAGGCAATGTTAACAAGTGGAAATGACAGAGCAAATACAAAATTCACTCCAAATTTTCCCTCAAGGAGCATAATCATGAAATGGAAAAAAGCACAATATATAACAGGGATACCTATGACTGGATCATATCCAGAGAAGAGAGAAGTCATTTATCCATCTGTCTCTCTATCTATCCATCAATCCATCTAATTTTTGAAGACATATTTCAGAGTAAATTCCATGCAGTGTAGTTATCATTAGGAAGGTGGGGCATCCTTATCCCTGGAGATTCTACACTCCCCTATCTCCCCGACCCCCACAATGTTCTTGACTCTTATTTTTCATAATGCAAATAGACAAATGGACAGAATTTTTGTTGTCTTCACAGAAGCTAATAGCTGTCTGTTGGGGATGTTGTGGAGAGGATTTCTGCATTTGAGAAAGTGGAATGGAATGGAATGTGGCTTTCAAAATTTTTGACAGCTGCCATTGTAACAAATGTATTCCTGTACCTACTCAGTGTATTCCACATAGATATTGAACTAAAAATTTCAGGAAACAATATTTCCCTTAACATGAGTGAAGAAAGCTGTTGTTTCAACTGAAAAATGCTCATTGTAATCCATTAAATTAATTTGATGACCCACCCATAGGCTATGATTTACTTTTTGAAAATTATTGGACTGGTTAACCTCCAGAAGATTTTTCTTTTTAAAAGAATCCTGTGGCTACAAGTAGGATTTTCCTAGTCTTCCAAACAACCTGTTTTGAGTCTGCAGAGAGGCATCCCCTGTAATCAACCAGATATTAACAGGAGATAAACAAAATTTAACTTCCTACATATTGAGGCCCAAAAATATGACAACTAAACAAGTGACCAAAAACAGCAAATTTTTTACATCATTTAGACAAAGGAACAAATTTTTGAAGAACTGATAAGACAAATAAGTTTGGGTTTGGGGTAGTAAATTAGTGAGTAAATTTGTTTATATAGCATTCCTTGCCCTAATTAAGTGGAGATAAGAATTATCTCTTTACCTCTAGCGACAGAGGGGGTACCTTTCAGAATTTTCTGCTTAAAGCATAAGGATACAAAGGAGGGTCAGCGTGTCTTCTAGCACGAGTTGTTTCTTAAATAAATTTAATTAAAAAGTAATCAATATACCAAAGTGGCATATTTGGGGGCCACCTATTTTGTTCTTCAAATCTCATCACAGTAATTACGTAGTATCCATGGCACTACTTTGCATGGTATGAGTAATTAGGAGACAAACCTGGCAAGACTCCTAGATAGATCTGATCACTCTTTAGCAGTAAGTTTTCTAAGTGTTTGTTATTTTCAGATAGTAATAAGCACTACTGATGGATACAGGCTTCAGTACTCTTGTTTTAGTCTTCTGCAGATGTGGCTAATAAAGTCTGCCGTGGCTCTGACAAAGCTGACATAAAACCAGATAAAACAGATTTAAAACCAACATTTTATTATTTTTTCTGTGAAGTCAAGGAGAGAGGGTTGCTTCAATCAAGCTCCAGTGAGCGGTGTCTCAGTATTTCAAAAACGCTCTCCTCTAAGAGAATTATTGCAAGAACCTCTCCAAATACCAATGATTTTGCCAGAGGCGTCACACACCCGTAGAGGGAAGAAGTCATGAATTTGCCAAGAGGACTGACCCCACCTCCATGCGCTCGTTCACTGCGCGCATGCTCACGCGGGGCTCTGGCCTCCGCGCAGGGTGGGGCGGATCTCCGAGGGCGGAGTGCGGCCCACGTGGGGTCCCGTGATGTCATCTCCGGGCGCCGAGGGTGACTGGACTTCCAGTGGGCTTCCCGGGATCCGCGGCGCTGCGGCTGGATTCTCTGGATCTCGGAGGGCGGAAGTGCAGCAGGCTCGGCTCCGACCTCCTTCTGCGGCTGCGCGGGTCCTGGGGACTCCTAGCTCGTGCGCCTTTGCGGGACAGTGTCAATTACCCTGCGCCTCCGCCCAGCTAGATCCCGGGACCTGAGCGACTTCACCGGTGCGGGCAGCCGGAGGAGCCGGCGCTTCTGGTAGGGGGTGTGTGTGTGTGTGTGTCCCCAGAGCGAGGGAATGCCTGGAGGAGGTTGGGGAGGTACCAGGTAGGTGTGGTAAGAATGAGTGAGTGATCGGGGAGAGGAACGCTCCCCCGGCGGCCGTGTCTGAAGGTGGTTGCTCCGGGGGAGGTGGGGTTGGCCAGGTGCCTGCCCCGCAGCCCTGGGGCCGGCTCAGGGTGTAGCCCGTGCGATCGCTTTCAGGGAGCGTTTCTGTTCCTTACTAAGGTAAGAAGTCCCAGGTCTTACGGCAGACTCTAGAGTTCAGTTCAGGACTGCATTTTTTTTTCCGCCCCCGGTGGAACACTTATTTAAATCATAATGATTTCACCGGCTGTACAGTTCTATGGATTCGGTGGACAGTTCCTCCCTACAAGTTATCTTCTCCAGTAACGGCGTTCCTTGTCTTATTTTAATGGCATTTAGTGCTAACAAAGCCGTTTTCTGTTGGCAACGTGCTTTTACGTGCTTTAATTATTTAGATTATTTTCAGATCATACTAGAACTTGAGAAACCTTAAAGAAACTGAATTGGTTCTAGATTTTTCTGAGGCGTTGGGAGACACAGAGTATCTTCATCCAGAATGAAAATCCAGAGACTGTCAGAGAGTACTGGCCTTCCAACCTTCTAGAAGATAATTTATAAGTCTGAGTCAGAGGCTCTGGATACTTGGATCTGAACTATATGTGACTTTCATAGAGGAAGGTGGTTGAATTTTGAATTTGAAAGTAATGCTGTTGGACAAAGGGTGGTAGTTAAGTAGGATTTTACACTAGGCTTAAACATGTGATTTGATCTTCAAAAGTATGCTGGTTAAAAATAGGGTGAAATGAAGAGAAGAGTAGAACTCTGTGGACATGAGTTTTGAGACTGATGTATGGTCTGTAAGTGTAGATTAACTATTAATTTAATAAGAATAAAAACTAAACAAAACACTGCAAAATAATAAAGACTTCTGCCATCATGAAGTTCACTTTGAGGGTAGGAGGAAACATTAATATAAAAAGTAATTAAAGTACAGTATTTGTCAGGTGGCGAAAAGAGCTAGCAGGAAAAAATAAAGCAACAAATGCTATCAGTGTTACTTTCAAATTCAAAATTCATCTAACAATTCCCTCTATGAAAATCACATATAGTTCAGTTCAGGTTCAAGATTCAGATGTATCGGATATTGCAGCAGTGGCCTTAGAAGGATGATATTTGAACAGAGAACTTAAAAGCGACAAAGGTACCATGTGGATGTAGTGGAAAGAGCAATCAGAAAGTCCCAAGGCAGGACCATACCTACTAGTTTGGCTAGAACCAATGAGCAAGATGGAGAGAAATAATAAGCAGTTCAAAATGGGGTCAGATCATCTGTCTAGTCTTGTAAGACTTTATAAATTTTTACTCTGACTGGGGTAGTAGGGTTTTGAGTAAAAGAGAAAACTGATCTGATTTGTGTTTGAAAGGATATTTCTCATTACTGTGTTGTTTATCTGCAGCAAGGGCAGAAATAAGAAGATCTGTTAACAGGTCTTTGCATTTATCCAGGTTAAAAGTCAGAGTGACTTGGATCAATGTGGTAATATGGAGCTGGTGAGAAATGGCCAGTTAGACCTTTCTAATCTTGCACCTTCAGGTATAAAGAGAGCCAAGGATGACTGCCAAGGTTTATGGTCTGAGCAACCAAAGAATAGAAGCCAACACTTAGTGATATTGGGAAGACCACAGAGTTAATAGGGGAAAGGAGAAAAGTCCTGAAATAATTTTTGGTTTTGTACAAGTTAAATTATTCAAATGAAGTATCGATATTCAGGTAGTATATTTGAAACTGGAGATGTTTCGGCTAAAGGTAAAATATAAGTGCAAGAATTGTTAATGTATAAATGGTATTTAAAGTCCAAGAGATCTGCAAAGGTGAGTTCAGTGACTGAGCCCTGGGGATGAGGCTGTTTATTAAAACCCCTGTTGAAAATTACTGATCTTTAGGAACAGTGGCATTGGGGGGTTGGTGGGGAGGTGTGGCCCGAGGGAGGGAGAGAGAGATTGATTGGTGCTTTGGTGGTAGGCATGGTGTACAGGTGTGAACATGTGCCCCTAAAGCATTTAGTATCATAAGCCAATATAACTCAAACATAAAAAGAAAGAAGAGGTAGCCCTGCTGTACATTCAAGAAGCTTATTTCAAGTAGATTGTATCTTGGATTGGAATTCCTGTGTTCCCAAATGGTGATGATAATGTAATGTTTGAGAGGGAAAAATATTTTTTATTTTTATTTATTTGTGTAAGATTGATTTTTATTTATGCATACAAGAACTGGAGTGTAGGCCAGAGGTGGGGGCCAGGTGAGAGAATTCACTGGAGGCAGAGCAGGAAGAACAGGCGGATCTGCTGAAATACACTGCTGAGAGGAGCAGTGGGCGAGACTGGAAAGGTCTGCTGTACCATGTGTTTTAGCTCCCTGGCTGGGGGTCAAACTCATGCTGCAGTGGCTGCCTAGAGCTTGGTAGGGCTGACTTTAACCCCTGCGCCACCAAGGAGGTTCAAGTAAAAGTTTTTTTCTGAGATAATGAAGTTTGTTGAATTTAAAGTGTAGTTGTACTGACTTGGGAAAGAGTTTAGATGGAAAAGTGTCTTAAGTAGCTAGTATAACACTTGGATCTGTTTCATATATTTACATATTTTCCAGTATAACAAAAAAATTTCACCGCCTATATGCTAATTATGCTAGTATTGGGAATAAATGGTAAATATGACTCAGTTTCTACTGTTCAGGAAATCTCAGTACAAGAGACAAATAAGCATAGTTGGAATGCATGGTTATAGGATACTATTATAGAAGTAATTAGATTGGAGGTTACTTAGTGGAAAGCTTACCAAGAAGGTGATGTTATAAACTGACTCTTAAAAGAGGATTAAGAGTTGACCAAAAGAAAAGGAAAAGAGATTCAAGCAGAAGAGTCATGGAAGCACAAGGAAATGGTGTATTAAATGGATAAACAATTTAGTAAGTGGTGACCAAGTGCTAAACATCCAACAGCCCTGTAAAATTAGAATTATCTCTAATTTATAGATAAAGACTCAAAGAAGTCACCTTTGTTCCAGGGACACAAGGTTATAGGTGGATGTCAGGGTTTGAAGCCATGTCAGTTGGATTTCAAATCCCCTTAACTACCTTACTGTATTGTCTGCTGTCAGCATTTAAATCTTCCCTGTCCTTGCTCTTTATTCGTCAGCCAGTTTGTTACCTACTTTTATTCATTCTCCTTTCTATAAACCTCTTATTTGTCTCTTATCAAGCCACTGATACCAGTGTAAGTGAGGCACTCAGGTGCTTTAGTTGCTGGAACTGCCTCTCTCTTACTTGATCTTTTGTGTGCTGCCACCAAATAAATGGTTTTATTTCACAGTTACCACCTTATATTATAGGCTCTCTACACTTATTGGATGATAGTGAGAACCCACAATTGTCCATTTGGTGTGCTTCATGTCTAGTCTCATTTTACATGAACAGATCTGACATTAAAAGTATAATTGTTTTTATTTCTCAGCACTTAATCCAGTGCTAATTTAAACATTCTAGCTTTTTTATTGTTATTATTTTTTTATTGAAGAAAAGCCTGGTGAATTTTCCAGATAAGGAAATTGAGCCTTAGTGCCTAGGATCACATGTCATAATGTTAGCTCTTTTATTATTCACTACTGCCAACCCAAAATTTCCTTAAAAGTTGGCACATAAACTGTTTCTGCTCCCTCCCTGCCTTTGCTAATGCTATTTTGCTCTACTTAGAATGTTTGATTTCTCTTTGCCCGTCTGTATTCTATCCATCTATTTCCTTGATTCACATTTAAAAAATTCTTCCCTGACCACTGATTGGATAGATTAATACTGTATTTCTGTCCTTCCCTCCTCCTTATGAAAACTCCCACATAGTAATATTTAGTTACAACTGTAGACATCTTGGAGTTGGCAGTTGCTTTGGGGTGACAGAAAGAATATGAACTTCGAAATCAGAGATAAGAAATCTTTAGTATAAGCTTATAAGGAAAAGTACAGGTGAAGTGAGGAAACAAAGGTTCTGCTTGAGTCATGTCCGGAAGTCTGGATTCTGGAGAGTGCCTGTATTGGAAGACAAGGTGGGGAAAGCTACCTTAAGTGTAAAGAACCTGCAGCATGAGCAAAACCATAGAAAGGGGAGTGTATGGTATATTTAGTAGATTTGGATATAATTCCTCTGGGCAGTGTCTGTGGTTTTAAAAATACATTTTCATTCTTATCTTTTCCATCATTTTATGTACCCTTGCTGCCTGCCATAAAACTACATATCAAATAGCCAAGTATTAACTATTAAATTTGATTAGCAATGTCCAGTGCTTAATTTTTAGTTATTTTCTTATGCTCTTGTAACTCCTGCTTATATCATATAGGCCTTTTGATTATTCTTTGTTATTGAGGTCATGCAGTAAGTGGTAGAGCAAGGTTTTGAATCTAGGCAGTCTGGTTCCATATTGGACATTTTGAACCCCCCACATTGTAGGGCCTCTCGAGTTAAGCTTTTGTTCTGTTTTTCATTTTAAAAAAGGATTATTAAATACTTAATGACATTTAATTTAATCTGTGTACCAGCCAATTTTTCATGTGTATTTTTTTAGTTAAGTGTATTCATTATATTAGAATTAAACTTTTTTGTCCAATTTTATTGAGAAATAATTCTCAGGTATTACCATGTAAATTCAAGATATACAGTGTGACTCTGATTTATAGGTTTGATTTTGTTGTACAGGTTTGATTTATATATGTGTTGTAGAAGAGTACCACAATACCAGCTAATATCTGTCATTTCATAGAGATAATATTAAAAAGAAAAGAATAGGGAAAAAATTTCTTCTTGTGATGAGAATTTTTAGGATTTACTCTAATAGCCTTCCTGTGTATCAAACAGCACACTAGCTATAGTCATCACGTTTTATATACATCCCTAGTATATATTTGTCTTAAACCAAAATTTATACCTTTTGACTACCTTTTCCCAATCCCATCTCCTCTCCACCACCTCTGATAAACAAAGTCTGATCTCTTTTTTTTAGGTTGTACATGTAAATGAGATAAACAGGGATCTGACTTGTTTCCCTTAGCATAATGCCGTCAAGGTCCATCCACTTTATTGCAAATGGCAGGATTTCCCCCCCTTTTTAAATGTCTGAATACTACTCCATTATATATGTATCACAACTTCTTTATTCATTAATCCATGAAAGGACAGTTGGGTTTTTCCAGGTCTTGGCTATTGTAAATAATGCTGCTGTGAACATGTTTCTTTATGTAAGAAACTTGCCTTCTTACATAATTCATTATAGATGAAAATTTAATAACATAGAAAGATTAACATTTTGTGAGTCTACAAATTTGGGTCTATATTTTGACGTAGTAAGTAGTCTTGTTTGCAGTTTCCATAACTCTGTACAGCACTTTCTTGTCTCAGTCAGTCCATTCCTTGAGGTCTTAAAAGAAATATATACGTAAGAAATAGTGATATGTGGGGGGTTTATCTTTCACTGATTTTGTACCTAAAACCCTACTGCAGAACTTTGGTAAAGTTTTTTGTTCCAGCCTAGTTTGCTGAAGTTCTTCAGTGAGATTATTGCTACTAAACCAGTAAAATTTAAGTCCAAACTTGTATCACTGTTGGGTAGAATATCTAAGAAACAGAGAAGAGGGAGACATTAGCCATTTCTTTTTACTGTTCCTCACACATGAAAGGAAGATGCAAAAGAAAATGCCACAGACCAAAAAAGCAGGACGGCCAGATGTTGTTATCTGACAATGTAGAGGGAGAGAAAAGGAAACTGTACCCAGATCCATGCATGGTATTTTGGTTTATGGTGACTCCTGCCTATTTATAAACATGGCTCAAATGGTATCCTGGAATGTAACCAATCAGATTTTTATTCCTTCTTGAGAGGACAGTGGTTGTGGAGAGGGAACGCACCTTTCCTTAGGTGACCATAAGAACCTTAACTTTGCATTTTCTTTTGAATTGTAGTTTCTACCTGTTTTTTTTCTGAAAAAGAAAAGTCATCCCATGTGAAAATACTGATTGTGACTTTTCAATTTTAAAATTATATTTAAATGCTCATGAAGTCTCTTAGGAAGGGAGCTCTTTGCCTTAAGTTTTATTTTGTTTTGTTTTTTTTCATAGGAGAGGAATCTCAGTTGTAGCTATGATGTATCATTGCTACAGAAACCACTGCTTATCACTTTTATATCAGGTCAACTTTAGATTTGTCATAACTCAGATTTCATTATTTTCTGCAATCAGTAGATTCATTTAAAAAGAATAAACTATACATTAATGTCATCAGGAAGTGGTGAGAACTTCCTTGTTTTCAGTGAGCTAATTTTGTGTGATGTATAAACTTGGAAATTTTCTCTACAATACAGAAACTCAGTATATTTTTTGAACTTGAAACCCATCAATTCGAGTTATGTGACGTTTGAATGCGTGTATCATTTGCTTCAAATAGGGACTTTTATGGATGTGGTTTATTTTCATATAAATTAGAACATAGTGGTGTGCTGGAAATAACACTAGTCTCAGTTCAAGTGACCAGTTCCTATCCTGGTTTGACTGTTACATAGTGCAGTCAAATTATGTGGTCTTGTTATGTTGGATAATTTTTTTTCACCTCTTCTAGCTTACTTACCTTTTGATGACTTGTACCTTATTGACCTCCAAGGTGTACACAATTTTAAGTAATTTCTGGCAATGTTGATGCACTTGACATTGGTCAGTGGAAAACAGGACATAAGATCCTAGAATAATTCAGTGTTAATAATTGATATTTGATTGGCTAAACTAATGTGGTTATTTAGGATGTTGCCACAGGATACATTGTAATGAATTATGAATTGGCTAGCCTGTGAAAGTTGGGAAATGTATAAATATAAGAGTGAAGGGATATTGTAGAGGGAGAGTACACAGGTACCTGTAGTTTTTCAGCATTTGCTCATAGAGTTTATTCTAGTGTTATCTAATTGTAGAATATCAGTACAAGTCACTTGGATATTATGGCAGTCAAAAGTTATGTGCTGCTTTACTCAGAATATTTTTGTTTGCAGATTTAGTACTGTATTTGCGATATCACAGCAGAGGCACTTAGTCTGGGATGGAGGATTGTGAGCTGGATTTGCCAAGTGAGTAGGATTTGAATAGGTGAGAGAAGAACATATTAGACAAGGGCAATGATAGAATAGAGAGCAAAGTGTTTAAGAGACCAGTTTTGCTATTTAAAAGGGTTTTTAGAAAGAAATATAAGAAATAAGACTGGAAATATTGGTGTGATCGAATTGTGGACAGGAAGAAATTTAGAATGGATTTATAATAGGGTTATAGATAGTTTCCAAGATGAGAGAGATGTGTATTTTTGTAGAAAGAGAGGCAAAACTGTCTGGACTAGGAAGGGTTGGATATATTAGATGGAGCAGGAATAATTGTGGGAATGATATTTTAAGAGTTGGGCTAAAGTGACAGTGGGGCATAGGTGAAGAGTTCACTTTAGATAAGGGCTAGACTTTGGGGCATAAAAGAATACAAGTAGAGTTCAAGTTTGACTGATTTTATTACTTGCATACTGTAGCATTTGTAATTTATTTTTTTATAAGAATTATTTATTTATTTATTCATTTTTTTTAAAGATTTATTTATTTATTCATACAAGCACTGGATACAGTCAGAAGCGCGGGAAGGTGAGAGAATTCACCAGAGCCAGAGCGGAGAGCAGAACAGGCAGAGTGATGAAGTATGCTGATGAGGGGAGCAGCAGGCCATGTGGGACCCTTGCAGGGAGCTGGGGATCGAACCAGTGCTGCAGAGGCTGCGGGCAGTGTCACAACCCAGCGCTCAACCGCTGTGCCACCAGGGGAGACCCAGCATTTGTAATTTAGAGTGGGTTACTTCTGTGATTCCTTTAAATAAATAATAGTTCTGCATATACAATTTGTTTTACTAATTTTTGCATTTGTTTTAAAGCATGCCAATCATGATTTTGAAATACATTAATTTTTTTCTGTAGTCTTTCTTTGTTTCAGAGCAGGTTCATTCATCCTTGCAAGGATTTGACTAATGTTTTTCATTTTATTTTCAGTTTGGCTTTGGTTGAAAAAAAGAACTTAGCCTATATGTACTGCTTTAACCACTGGAAGAATGACAGATGACAAAGATGTGCTTCGAGATGTGTGGTTTGGACGAATTCCAACTTGCTTCACCCTGTATCAGGATGAGATAACTGAACGGGAGGCAGAACCATATTATGTAAGTATGTTGATGGTAGCAAATGGGATTGCTAACTTTGTCAGATTTTTTGGTAAATAAATATATAAAAACCTGAGGGATATTTCCAACATTTTATATTAAGTCAAATGTGTTTATTATGGAAAAAAGTTGGAAAACACAGATAAACAAAAAGAAAGAAATAAAAATTACCTCTAATCCTATCACTCAAAGAAAAAAATCCACCATTCACCTGTTAATATGGGACCTTCTTGACTTTTTTTTCTTATACATAAAATATATTATAATACAATCATAAGTTCCATACTTATTTTTTTAACTGTAACAAATTTTGGAAAATGATAGGGTTAGATTTGATTCTCTTGTATTTAGATGATTCCAAGCAACTTTTTAATGAATTTTTTTTAATTGAATGGTCATATGAATGTGTGTGTGTTTTCATATATTCATGAACTAATACATATTATTTAATACCATAACTTGCTATATACAGACTTGCAGGTTTATGTTAGAGCATTGTCTGTTCTAAAATAGAGTATCAAATAGCTTCTTATTTTTAACCTGCTTTTTTTCCTTTTCTAAGTGCTTATGCAATCTAAACTTATGCATCTGTCTGTTGGAGAGAATACTATCCTGACTCTTTTTCTGAATAGCCCCTGATAGGCAGACAATCTGTTATCATTATTTTATCATTTTCCTTTTGTGTCTCAGGAAGACCAAATACTGTTTACCCAGGAGGATCTGGAAAATTGGAAATTGTATTTGTAGTGCTCAACTGTAGATTCACTTTAATAAAGCATGCCCTTTGCTTTTTTCTTTTTCATTTGCAGAGGCAGTACCTCTTCAGTCTGCTCCAATTTTAAGTTAAGGAGTCCATTCATTAGCTTTTTAGATATAGGGACTATTTTCTATTTCTCTGCACATCTCAGCATCTGGCATAAGTCCTGCAGATGGTAGATATGTAGTGCATCAAAGTCTCCCCAGAGTCATGTTGAGAATTTGTTTTAAATTGTCTCTGGGTTTTTCTTGTTACTTGAAATGACAATTTCAGAGATATTAAGTGGTCTTTTGTTGCTTGTATTGCTGTAATCGTAACTGTTCATACACATTTGTCATTTTAGTTTTGGTAATCACAATAGTTTTCTTTTCTGCCTTTAGAAAAACTCCATAGTTAAAAACAGAATGTGGTCAATAATTCCATTTATCAAGTGTATTTTTTCTGTTCTCCTTCTGTAATATGGCCTAGAATATCATTTGTTTTCAAACTATTTTTTGTTATTTTAATTAAAACATTTAACCTTGGTAACTTTTAAACAATATCTAAAAAAGGAGATGTGTCTAGTTGGCAAAAGTGGAAAAACAAAAATATGATTGAAGTTTGTTTACTTTTAATTCAGAATATGATATTTGACAGACTTCCTGTAGTTAAAAACATCTAAGTAAAGAATATAATGTTTCCTTTTTAAATATATGAAACTCTTTAATATGGAAAGACTTGTGCGATCAGGTGAAAATGACAGAAAGTATTGGGAAAACTGTAGGAGGAAGAGGATTGTTTTGTCTAATAGGTCATTTTTTTTCTTGAATTGCTATAAATCCTCCCCAAGAAGAAATTATTACGTAGTCATTATGGTTGTGCTTTTGAAGAGTATTGGATGATAGATATATAATAAATATTAAAAAGCAAGGGTTTAAAACCATGGAACATAATCCAGATTTTACTCTTTAAATACATATATTTTTAAGTATAAGTTGATACAGAAAGAATATGAAAAAACTTTACATTGATTAGCCTTAGAATTATAGGTAATAGTTTTATTGCCAGCTTTAAATCTCATCTATCTTGCTTATAGATTAATCTTCAAAGTATTTTTAATTGCTCTGGTTTGTAATAGTTATAGTTATAATGCTTCAAAGACTCTGAGATGAGGTTAAAATATCATAACTGGAACCAGTAGACCTTTTTCTTTCATATTCTCAAAACTCAGGCGAGGTGACATAACAGCATTGTTTCTGTGACCTGAAGAATCTATCCATATGAGGTGGAGATACATGGAAATGTACTGATAGTTTACTTTTTATAATGCTTATTGATTATTTCTTACAGCTACATTTTTGAAATACACACTCATATCAAATTCATAGTAAATATTTAAAGAGTCTCTGGAATTTTCTGTTTTCATTGAAAAAGCATATTAGGGCCTCCCCGGTGGCGCAGCAGTTGAGCGCTGGGTTGCAACACTGCCTGCAGCCTCTGCAGCGCCGGTTCAATCCCCGGCCTCCGGGCGAGGGTCCCACATGGCGCGCAGACCTCTCCTGTCGCCCACTGCTCCCCTCAGCAGTGTACTTCGTCATTCTGCCTGCTCTGCTCTCCCCTCTGGCTCTGGTGGATTCTCTCATCCTCCCGTGCTTCTGACTATACCCAGTGCTTGTATAAATAATAAATAAATCTTAAAAAAAAAAAAGAAAAAGCATATTAATGTTAATAAAATGCTTGTTTCTGCATTTTAATTTGTTGCCACTCCATAAAGCTGCTTTCAACCTGTATCTTGTATGTTTATCCTTTGAGAATGATGTCTTCTTTTGCAGGGATATTAAGAAGGAAATTTGCTAAAAACTAGGCAATTTTACAGTTTTTATTCTTTCCATTATATTTATTAAACTTTTGCTTTTCATTTAGATTTTCCAATATAAAAATGTACATCCTAATTTTCATGCATATTTTGCAGCTTGTTACCAATTTTGCACCATCATATAGATGGTCATCAGTCTGAGTAGACCCTAAACATACCCACTTGTCCTTTTATGTTTCTTTAGTTTTTCTCCACTACGACCATATCTCTGAGCTCTGACATCAACTTTCTCTCTTCACAGGTGACCTCACTTCCTACTTCACAAAGGAAATAGAAACAGTGTGCTAGGATCTTCCTTAACTTTGTTACCAAGTCTGAAAAACCCACTTTCATCTATCCACACATGTACTCTCATATGTTTTAGTGGGAGATCTTTCCTCTTAAGTAAGACCCAAGCCTCTGTCTGTTCTGAACCCCAACTTCTGACTTCTCAAGAAGCTGGTTGTTTCACCCCACCCTGCTTTCTTTCTTTTACTTTCAACCTCTTTCTATTTACTGACTCCTTTTCAGCATTAATGTTTTTTTACATTCTTCCTATTCTAAAAGAGTTCTCCCATCTCTCTTTCTACTCTTGTTTTTCCTTTACAGCCAGATTTCTTATAAAGCTTGTCTATACTCATTGACTTCTTCCCAGCTTTCACCACTTATTTTGCTATAATACATACTACTCCAATAAAACTGTTCTTGGCACAATCAGTAATGACGTCTTTTTTCCCAGACCTGTCATCTGTTTTTGAATTTTCATGTGATTTCTTAGCAGTATTTGATAGTGTTGGCGGTTTTCTCCATTTTATGGCACTCTCCTTTCTTGGTCTTATAGTGCCTTGTGTTGCTGGTTTTGTTTGTACCTTTCTGGTTGTTTTTTGGGGGGGGTGGGTGCACAGTGTGCTCTCCTGTCCCAGATCTCTAGCCTTTGCTTGTTCCTCAATATAGGCATTCCTTGGGACTTTGCCTTTTATTTTCTCTTAACCTTCCCCTGCCCCAGAGTTCTTATCCATCTTTAGGGCTTTGTTGAGCATCTGTATCTCAACAACTCCTAAGATTTTCTTCTGAGCTCCAGATCTATATATCTGATGAATATTCTCACTTGGATGTCTAGAAGGAATGCCAACTAATTTATCTGAAACTGGGCTCTTCATCTTAACTCCCAGGTGGAGTTGGTCTTCTGCCATATTCCCTTCCTATTTTGACAAGTAGATCTATCATCTGGCTAATTAATTATTCTTACCATGAGAGTCCCATTAAGATGAGACTCATTCTTTGATGCTTCTCTCTCCCATATCCTTGATATTTAGTCAGTATCTTAGTCCATCTGACTTTACATCTCAAATATCTCTTGAACTTAGGTGATTCTTTTCATAGCCACTGCTGTATCCTAGTTCAGACAACCATTTAAAAACTGGTGGATTTCATCATACTAACCCAGTTTCCTTGGCTTCGATCTTGCCCTCTTAGTTTTCCAGCCTGCACTTGGAATAATCTTTTCAAAACATATCTCATCTTGTCACCTGCCTACTTAAAACCTTAAAACCTTGAATGGCTTTTCATCGTCTTTAGGTTCCTCAATGAAATTTATAAGATTCTCCGTGCTTTGGTCTTTTGATTCTTCAGCACTGCTCTGTCCTATTCAACTTCTTTGTCTTTGTGTTTACTCCATCCCTTCCAGCAGTTTACTCTGTCTAGAATGAACACCAGTATTTCCCACCCTACTCACATCCAAACACTCACAGTCACCCATGTTTGGTTCACTCCTGCCCTTTTTGATTCCTGCCTGAAAGAAAAAAGACTGTCAAGGCCTCCTGGAGCTCCTATATTCACTTAAATGCCTTTGCTACTTGCTCTGATAGTACTTTTTTACTTCCTTCTTACCATTTATCATATTTGTAACTTTTCTTTTAGAATCTGTCTTCCTCCCTAGATTGTAAAGTCCTTGAGAGGAAGAAGTCTGTCATATTCAGTGTTCTATCCTCATTGCCTGTGTTAGGCTCCTCACACATTGAATGGATCTGAATTCTGTATATTTCAATCCTCTTTTTGTTCTAGAAAAGTAAATCTGCAGTTTGAAAATATTGGATAAAATAGGATTTGGCATAAATAAGTAAAATTGTAAGCACCTTTTTCAGAAACATAAGTATACAGTTGTGTAAAACATATATTCCTTATAAGCTGTGGAGAAAATAGTGACTCACTGTATCACATTCACTAGATACTTGCATTGTAATAGGAAGAATAAGAGGATAGATTACATGTAACTGACAGTCTCTCTCCTCAGAAGGGGAATCTTCTTCATGTTAAAAGAACTAAAGAACTTAGAAGACATTAAGCAAATTGAAATTAACTAGATCCAAAGGGACAAATATTTTATGATTCTGCTTACATGAGATTCCTAGAATAGTTAAATGCATAGTGATTACCAAGAATCTGGGGAAGAAGAGACTGTGTAATGGGTACAAAATTTGAATTTGGGATGATGAAAAAGTTTTGTAGAGAGATCATAGGGGTAGTTGCAGAGCAGTGCAGTGTGAATGTATTTCTCTCTCTCTCTCTCACACACACACACACACACACACACACACACACACACACACACACACACACTCACACGAGATATACCTAAGAAAAAAAATGAATGATACAAATGTGGACATAGAAGGTGGGGTGATGTCTTTGGCTGCCATTTTCTTTTCATTTTTGTCTGTTTAAATACTAGATAAATTGTATTTGTACTTACTCTCATATAGTCAATTTTAAATCAGAGTTATTTCTTAGTGTTATAGTAGATATTTATATTAGTTACAGATTATACTCACAGGCCAGTTTGAAGGAAGATTCCAACTACGTTGCAGTGTGGATTCTGTTGGGACATACTTTTAAGATTATTGTTTTCTATTTTTTGTCCCACTTAACTTTTGGAATCTGATTTCTTTAGCAAATTGTGTACTTCTACCAAGCAGACACTATTTTGGGCTTTGGGATTATAGCAGTGAATAGTGTAACAAAACCCCTGTCTTAATGAAGCTTATATTTTAATGTTCCCCATTTCTTGTTGTAAAGAAATTTTTGTTTCCTGAAAATCATTTGTGAATTATTTAGAAATTTTGAACCCTGGCCATGTATTAAATACAGCATTCTCAGTCAGGAGCTGATAACCATGCTTGTTAGTCCTGATGTACCTTCCTTCTTACCATCTACATAGATTAATATTATTCTCTATAGAATAGATGCTCAACAGGCATCTTAAAGTTCTAGACTTACCAATAGAAAATTTAATAGACTTATAAATTTTACTTCTTTTTTAAAAAATGGCCAATTCACCTTGCTGTTTTAATTTCTTAGAAACTGTTCATGTCACATCTGTGTTTGATTCTGTCATTTCTGACTCTAGTGAATCTTTTCTGTGCCATCTATTTAATAGAATGTGATTTTGGCTTATTTTGTATATAATAAGTGCTTCCCCATAAAATAACTAGTGCTTTTCCTTATCTGTAGTATTAGTTTCCCTTTTTTTCTTCCCTAATCATATTCTGATTGTTTCTTGTAAAAGAGGAATTTATATTCTGTTGAATCCACAATACTGTCATATTATTGTGCTCATAGTATTAGTAACCTCTGTTCCATATTGGGACATACCAACAACCGCCCACACCCATGTACTCTATAGCCCCTGGGACCATTGTTATATTCTCTTGGCTACTGGGACCTGTTATCTTGTTCCTTAAACAAACTATTTCTCTTTGTGTATTTTCCAAACCAGTAACTCTAATTGATTTACTGATCAAAATACATAACCTTGAATCATTTTGCAGAAAGAGAGGAAACAATTTTATGAGCTAAAGGAGAAAGCAGCTTAGGAAAACAAGAAATTAGTCTATCTACTGCAAAATGAAAAAAATGAATTTTTGCAAATCTCCTCCTTGTATCTACTTGTGGATTCTTTATATACATCCTTCCCAATTTTTCAAAATGCTCTTAATTTTCCTGAGAACCTTTCCAGAGGGAAAAACAATGCTGGCCTTCTTGTTATCCCAGTTGAGTCTTTACCTAGCCCAGCATTCCGTGCTGACTTTTCCATCTTCAAAGTGCAAGTAGATCCAGCCTTCATAAGGACAAAATTGAGTAAGGTGAATGACAGTGACACAGTCATCAGTCTACCAGCATTATATCTTAAGCTTATGCTTTATTGCAGTTTAAAAATTTAATTGTGCAGTTTAAAAAGTCAATCTTTGACTTAGCTCTTGCTTTGATTTCTTCCTAGTAATAACCAAAATCTGTTCAGATTTTCAGACCTTCCTTGCTGTTTCAATCATTCATCTTCATCTCCTGTATAATATATCCTTAACAGATTTCCTGTCTATAATCTTTCTTGTCTTCTTTCAGTCTTTTGTGTGCAGTTGCTAGAATGTTCCTCAATATTACTGTTTATCATAAGGCCATCCTTTTAGTCATGACTTTGTGGTAGACCACTATTATTTATTAAATTAAGTTTTCTATTTGACCTTTATTTTTTTTTTTTTTTAAAGATTTATTCATTTGCTTATTTATTTATTTATTTATTTATACAAGCACTGGGTACAGTCAGAAGCGCGGAGGGTGAGAGAATTCACCAGAGCCAGACGGGGAGCAGAGCAGGCAGAAGGACTGAAGTACACTGCTGAGGGGAGCAGTGGGCGGCAGGAGAGGTCTACGCGCCATGCGGGACCCTCCTCCGGTGGCCGGGGAGCAGCCAGGGATCGAACCGGAGCTGCAGAGGCTGCGGGCAGCTTCACAACCCAGCGCTCAACCGCTGCGCCACCAGGGAGGCCCTCTATTTGACCTTTAAAGGCCTTCTGTTGCCACCATGAAATAATTCCATAAGAAATTTGTCTGAGTATTATTTTAGCTTCGTAAAGAAGAGGGAAGATACATCTTTGTCTTAGTGTTCTTCCTTGCAGCTAGTCTAATATGTAATAGATTATAAATCTGTGATGGCAGTTGAGAAATCCTGATTAATAAGTCAAAGTATACATTAGAATTAAGTTTCTCAGAACAGTTTAACGCAGAAAAATCATTTTAATTTTTAAGTTAAATTTGATAGAACTAGTAAGTATCCTAAATAGTACGACATCTGATTATATTGCTTGTTTATTTGCAGAAAAGCATTATAAAAAGTTTATACATAGATTTTTATTGTTTATTCTGGGCATTTATGCCATAGCTGTACTTAAATTAATGACCCCTTAAGTAATTTTAATATGTCCTAACTTTTTCACTTTGATTTTCTGTAGACATCAATTGTCTGTGTATTGAAAATTCAAATTAATGCAAGAAGATGACTTTTCCCTTAAAATTCAGAAAGCTTTATAGTGTGTATATATATATTTTTTCTTTTTTGAAAAAATAGTAAATAAATATGGTTTTAAAATTTTTCATTTCAGTTGCTTTTGCCAAGAGTAAGTTATTTGACGTTGGTAACTGACAAAGTGAAAAAACACTTTCAGAAGGTTATGAGACAAGAAGACATTAGTGAGATATGGTTTGAATATGAAGGCACACCACTGAAATGGTGAGTGAATATTTCTGCTACTATGCATTGAGTATATGCTAGCTTTAAGGAAGTATAGTGACCTGAAGCTTAAAAAGTTCTTTAAAAAAAATTACTAGTCTCATTCATATAGTGACTAATTATTTTTAAAGCATTGTTAGAATATTTTATTGAAATTATTTCTGCCTTCTATTTGGATGCATGAAAAAACTCAACAAATTTGTGTGTTTTCAGCAATAGATTTTTATATCGCAAAGTAATTGTATATTTAGTACCCAGATTTTTTTACAGCTATGTTTATAGCTCACATATGAATCACACTATTCAGTTTTGTTTCTGTCTCTAAAATGCTTATGAAAAATGGTAATTATGTATATGGCATCTTTCAAACTGATTAACACATTTAGTTGACCACTGTATCATAAGCACATCTTGTTTAGCCTTGGTTTAGTATTTAAAATGTATTGATTTCCTTTTGATATAAAAAGTCACTTTGATATTTATTTTTAAGAAATGTATTGACAATATATAGTAAATCTGGATTTGTGTGTGTGTGTGTGTGTGTGTGTGTGTGTGTGTATGTATTTACGTTTCTTCTATACTAGGAATTTTGTTAACTGTGCTTCCAAAGCTATTTTATGAAAGAAAGAAATGAGAAGACTAAAAAATGGTTCAAGGAATGCTGGTATATAGGTGTTGATGTGCTGCCATATGGTTATAATTAAATGAAATGATACAAATAAGTCAAGATTTAAAGGACGTATCCAAAATTTAAATAGGTTAAAGATGGACTTACTCTTTGGATCTGGGACTATTAAAATGAAGTTTTAAAAAGAAAACTAGTAGGTGTTAAGTTCAGTTGACTAGCATGCAAGAATTTCTGAGAAACCAGAAGTGAGCTTTTGGATTTTACTTTGTGCTGATGAATTCCCAAGAGTGAGTAGATTTTTCATAATGGTTTAGAAGCACACAGGTGCTATTTTGTATTGCATTTGGATCATGTCTCTCACCTTTTGAGGAGCTTCTTGGAAGGGATGACAGATTTCTTTATGTAGCATTCAATTTTAATTAAAACAGAATATGAGCTTCATGATCATATATCAGACTTACTATGAATCTTGAATAGTTCTAGACCTCAGACAGCATGGATAAGTCAATGTTTTTTGTTTCTTTTCATTTCTCAGAAGAATTGGAGGTTTTGGAATGGGAAAAGTGACTTAAAAGACATATAAGAGGAGCAAGATCAGGAAAGTAGAGGGAAGGAAAGAGGGGGAAAGGTTGTGGGTGAGTAGTACTAGGATATATCTATGTTTTTGACAGTCTGGATGTTGACAGTCTATGTTTTTGACAGTCTGGATGTTTTGATAACTGGATGTTGAAATTGTATTGCTTTATGTGTATTAATTTCACATCATCATAAGAATTTCTACAACTGAAGCAGGATTTTTCAGCTTTATCACCAGAAAGCAGAGATTCTCCACAAGGGACCCTCTTGACATTTTGACCCAGGATAATTCTTTGTTGTGGGAAGGCTGCCCGGTAGGAGTTTTAGCAGTAACTCTGGTAACCCACCAGTGCCAGTAGCACTCCCTCTAGTGGTGATAATAACAAGTTGCGGGGGGGTTGTTGGTGGTGGTGGTGTATGTGTATGTCCATCTCCAATTAAGCAACTTTGGAAGAGATGAGAATTCTCAATTTAGGTTTTATAGTGAATGGTTGCAAAATCATCTATCAGCTGCTGTTCTAATCAGACTCACATGGTGGTTATTTTTGTATTTGATATGATTTGTATTCTATAGGTTTATATTTTATATGTGTCATTAGTCAATAATGTTTGGTTTCATTTTTCCTGTTACTGCAGAGACATGATTTTGGCTTAAATATGTCATCTTCCTCTTTTGCCAGTAGTTGCCACATCTGAAAGCCCTTGTAGAGTGCCATGTGAACGTAGTTATGTTCACTTACCTTCAGTGTAGTTTTTGGGGTGGTAAATTTCTGTGTGTGCTGTTCCATGTTATGTCATGCTGTAAGCCTGTTGTATTTAGTGACTTTTGATTCAACTGTTCTTTTAGTGTGGTTAGATAATCCAGTATATTTGAGGAATGAATGGAATCCGGGTCCTCTGGGAACTGTTCCCTCTCCCCCCCAATAATAGCGATATTATCCTAGGTTAAAAAAATTGTCTTCCTGGAAATATACTATTAATATCTACCTGGCATTTAAGCAGTGTGCTTCATAGGGAGTAGGATAGTAGTATAGAAGAAGCTTAGGTACCACTGAAACTTTAGTGAATGTGGACTTTTGGGACTAAACAAGTGTCTTTAAAAGTAGAAGAGCATTTATTTGCTCTTTTTTGGTACTTGATATGATTCGTGTTCTGTAGGTTTATAGTCTACATATGATATTAGTCAATAATGTTTGGGTCCATTTTAATAATGTTTTGGTCCATAATAATATCTTTTTTATACTTAATTCTTTGAAATGTTAAGTAAATTCAAGTAAGGAAATGAAACCAGTTTAAAGAACTTATTAAAAAAAGAACATAAAATGATGTATTTTCTCCTTCTATAATTCTGTTACTGATTCTGTCTTCCACTTTAGTTACTTGAGTTTGCTTCTTCATGAAAGGTAACAGTTCTAAATGCTAAAAAAAGAAAACCAGTTCCAGATAAATCATAGTCAAATGAGAAAAATGTGACTTTCTGTTCCTTTTGGTTCAACCTGGAGTAAGAGGATAGCAGCTGTGTTTTTCCCCAAATAAATGCTTTGGTTTTAAACTTTTTAAGAAATAGTGTATAAATTCAAATTAGCAGTAACTAATAATAGCATTCTTAAATACTTAACTATTCTTAAATAATATTAGAAATAGGTAATGGCCTAGTCTTAAAGCATATTGTGTTTTCTCATTATAGTCAGTTTTTCTCTTTATTCTTTTGTGTATCTGATAGACTGACAAGGGAATAATAATCCCAGACATATAATTTACGATTAAGTAAAATTTGTCTGTTGTTTGGAGTAGAGTTTAATGCATTTTGACAGTTGTATACAGTTGTGTTACTGCTGCCATGATCAAAATAAAAGATAATTTCTATTACCCGGCAAAGTTCTCTTGCACTCTTATCCTATCTTCCTAATTACAGTCCTTGGCAGTCACTAATTTCTGTGCATGTAGTTTTATCTTTTTCAGACGCCATATAAATGTAGTATATAGCCTTATGTGTCTGGCTTCTTTCACTTTACTTAGTATTTTGAGATTCGCCTTTGTTGTTGCTTGTATCAGTGGTTCCTTTTTATGACTGAGTCCTATTCCATTGTATAGTTATGCCACAAATAGTTTGTACATTTATCAGTAGAAGTACATTGACTTGTTTTCATTTCGGAGCCATTAAGAAATAAAGCTACCACAAATACAATTCTTGGTGTAGACGCTTGCCAAGCCATATTTATTTAATTTATTTTTTTTTAAATATTTTTATTTATTTATACACACAAGAGCTGGGGTGTAGGCCAGAGTTGTGGGAGGTGAGAAGATTCACCAAAGAGTGGTGAGCAGAACAGGCAGATCTACTGAAATATACTGCTGAGGAGAGCAGCGGGCGAGACAGGAGAGGTTTGCTGTGCCGTGTGGGTTGCTCCCTGGCTGGCCGGGGATTGAACTCGTGCTGCAGAGGCTGCAGAGGCTGTGGATTGCTTCATAGTGTGGTGCTTAACCCCTTGAGCCACCAGAGAGGCCCAAGCCGTATTTATTTTGGAAGAGAAAAAAAAATAACTTCTGTTTCTATGTGTTTGTTGTTAGCTTGTAGAATGTGATTAAATTTTGTTTCCTTAACCTTGCCGAACTTTAGAAGTGTTTTGGGGATTTTCTAGGTGAACAATCACTTTATCTGCAAATGAAAATTTTTTTTCTTTCTTCCTTTATAATCTGTAGGTCTTTTGTTTTCCTTACCTTATTGCACTGGCTAGAACTGTGTTGAATTAGAGCAGTGAGAATGAGGACATCTTATGCTCTTGATTATAGGAGAATGTATTCAATCTTTCGAGGTTAAATGTGCTGTTAGCGAGGAGTTTTATACATACTTTTTATTAAATTGAGGTAGTTTCAGGGGCTCTCTTATGGCGCCAAGGGGTTAAGACACAGCACTATGAAACTGTCTGCAGCCACTGCAGCATGAATTCGATCCCTGGCCAGGGAGGTGACCCTCATGGTGCAGCAGACCTCTCCTGCCTCACAGGAACTGAACAGGCAGATCCACTGAAATACACTCCTGAGGAGAGCAGCGGGTGAGTCAGGAGAGGTCTGCTGTGCCATATGGGTAGCTCCCTGGCCAGGGATCGAACTTGTGCTGCAGAGGCTGCATCTTAACCCCTTGCACCACCAGGGAAGCCCCCGATATTCTTTGTTAACAGTGATGATTTCTGTTTTTGTCAGCTGTGGTAGAGGTTTATCAAATTTATTAATTTTTTTTAACCAACTAGATTTTTTTTTTTGTTTCATTGCTTTTTCTCTGTTTTTCTATTTTGAATTTCATTGATTTCTCTGTAAATTCTTTCTCTTCTGTATGCTTTGGGTTTCTTTTACCCTTTTTCTAGTTTCTTGAGATAGGAACTTCACTTACTAATTTGAGATCTTTAAAAAAATTTTAATTGTGGTAAAATATACAGAATATAATGTTTACCACCTTAACCATTTTTATACATTTTAGTTGTATTAATTATGTTCATATTGTTATGCAATCAGTCACCAGAACTGTATTTTCTTACCTTGTCTTTAATGTAAACATGTAGGTTTATAAATTTCTCTCAGCACTGCTTTAGCTGCTTTCCATAACCTTTGTTATGTTTTTATTGCCATTCATTTAATGTGTTTTCAGAAATTATCCTTTGAGACTTTCTCTTTGACCATGAATTATTTGAAAGTGAGCAGTTTAATTTCCATATGTTCAATTTCCATAAGTTTCCATATGTTGTTTTAAAGGTTTTGAGGTTTTTCTTCCTATTACTGATGGTTAGTTTGATTCTATTGTAGTCAAAAACACTGTCATTTTGATTCTTTAAAATTTGTTAGGGTTCATACTTCACTTTTGATTCCTTTATTATCTAGCTCCTAAGTTCTGATTCTGCCTTCTGTGTTTTGAATTTTTCACTCTGTTTAACCTGGGCGAGGACCCATCTAATTTCTCACAGTGATCATTTTAGTAACCTCTTGATTTGTCTTCCTACCTCCAATGCTATTAATTTCAGTTTATCTTTCCCAGATCCATAAGTGATCTTTCTAAAATACAAATCTGTTGTTGTTAACTCTCCTTCTTAAGGACCCCTTAATAACTTCTAATCTACATTGTAAAGCCCAACTCTATATTATGACATGCACGTGTGATAAGGTCCTCCTTGAGCCATTTCTTTCCAGATGAACTAAATCATTTGTTTTTGTGAATGTTGGGTGACATTTTCTGCTTGAACTCCTGTGCTGATGTTCTTTGCTGAATCTCTTGCTCTTCCTAGTTTCCTTCCTTCTAAGGATTCATTTATTTGTGTGTATTTCTTTGCTCTTATTTTAAATTTCTAACTTCTTTCTACTTTTATGATTCTTTTATTCATCTCTACCTTTATCCATCTCTATACTGTGTGTACTTCCTGTGTACTTGTCATATTGTCATTTTGTATTGTAGCGTAATGGTTAAGAATCTGATTCTGGAGCCAAGACACCAAGTTTCAGATCCTAGCTCAATCACTTATAAGCTATATAACCTCAGGCAAATTATTTAAACTGTGTCTTATTTTTCTTATCTGTAAAATGAGGATAATAATAGTACTTCCTTCCACCAGTTTATTTCAAGGATTAAATAAGGTAACACATATAATGTGCTTAGGACAATGCCTAGCACAAAGTGCTCAAGAGCACTCATAATTATGGTCAACATCATACTCTTACTATTCGTGCTTACTATTATTGTAATTGTTTTAAAATTCTGCATGGGATGCTTGTACAGGGGCTTTGTACCTTAAGCAGTAACACATAAGAGGTACTAAGTAAATGTTTATATGATGAATTAATGAATCTAAATTAATCTCTTTGTTGAGAACACTGAAGCTCAGAAAAATGAAATAAATTGCTCAAGTGAATGAGTAGGACACAGATTTTAAGAATTTTAGTTCATGGCTCTTTCTGCCATACATGTGATGTTCTGTTTATTATTGACTTTTCCCCTAATTCTGTGTATTCTAATTGTTTGTGTTAATTTGACCGTTTTAGTATTGAAAAATATTTGAGAACAGTGCTTATCACATAATGAACATATATTATTATTGTTGATTTATGAAGAAATTCCAAAGCGGTTTTAGCTGATTAGTGCTTTGTCTTCTACGGTCTTTTGTCTCTGACTTTTAAAAAATGCGTGGGAGGTGGAAAGTGTTGTTTGCCACCTTTTGTAAAGTGATTTGAGTAGTTTAGTCAGCAGAGGGTGCTCTAACATTGCATTTTAAGGGGTAAAGTTTTCTTGTTAGCATAACTCAGCTGTTCATAATTGGGATGTTAATTTTCTATTAGATGAATAACTGTGTTCTTCTCATGAATTCTTCATTAGCATACCCTAATATTCATTTAGACCTTAGGCCTTCAGCTACAAAATTTAGAAAAAGTTTCTTTTTTGTCAACTATAAAACAGGTGTCTCTACACACCATGGTGGGGGGTGGAAAGGACAGATTAGGGTCAAAATAAGAGGGGGTGCAATTGTATGAGGAATATAACCAAAATGAAAATGCATACGTTGTGCAAAAACGAAAAATGATGTAAGAATTATATAAAATAAAATCTATTAAATTAAAAAAAAGCAGGTGTCTCTAATGGGACATTATTACTTTGTATAAATTGACTTATTGTCAGGGTTGGTTGCTGAAAGTAAGGAGCTGAAGCTACCTTTAGAATTAAAAAAAATAACAAGGAAGCAAACAAGTACTGATGTTGATCTAAACATAATAGAATGACCCAGAATTTAAAACTGTATCTATGTGATTTCACATGTAAAATGTAAATTTTAACAAAAATGCTTTAGTGAAAATGTGTAGTTTTTTTAATCTTTAAAATATCTTTCAACATCTTTATCATAAATACAATGCAGACTCTCATGTTTAGTCATTTTTGTGAAGTTGTGACTTTCTAGAATATTGTAAGTCATTCTGTGAAGTAGGTTTTTAAAATGTGGTTTACTTAGCATTTCATAAAGTATCCCGTTGATTAATTTTATACTTTTTTTTAAGATTTATTTTTTTATTTATACAAGAACTGGGGTACAGGCCAGAGGCGCATGCAGGTGCAAGAATTCACCAGAGGCAGAGTGGGGAGCAGAATAGGCTGACAGACCGAAAGCACTGCTGAGGGAAGTAGTGGGCATGACAGGAGAGGTCTGCCCCACCGTGTGGCAATCTCCCTGGCCGGCTGGAAATCGAACCCGCACTACAAAGGCTGCGTGCAGCTTCACAGCACTGTGCTCAACCCGCTGCGCCACTGGGGAGGCTCAGTTTTACACTTTTTTATACATAAGAATAGGCTTAAAATTCTGTGATACATAGTACTATCTTATAATTATTTGTTTATGCCAGAGTACAGTAAAATTGTAATTTATGAATTACTTCAATTTGTATTTGAATTGCACTCTTTTATTCAGTGAAGTGTAACCTTGTTTCTAATGAGTAATAAATTTAGCAAACTTTGAATAGGGTGCATTTATTTCAGTTAATGGAGTAGGATAATGGTTCTCTAGCATGGGGAAGTTTCCTTTAATGTGATCTTAGAATATTGGTTTCTTTCTCCTGCAGATGTTGAATGAGAATAAACATCCTAGCTAGTTTCACAGCATAACTCTTACTTCTATACCAAATGCCAGTATGTGTATGTGTATATTGGCATATATAATGAATGGGTAAAGAAACAACTTATGCAAAGAAAAATGCAAATCTTACTAATTTTGAGAATTAAATTTAGGAAAAAGTGAGCAATTTAAGGAAGAGAAAGAAATGAATAATGTGAAAGTAGATCTAATGCTAAATGTTCTGCTGCAGTAAATTTTTATAGGGCAATACATTGAAACTTTAGCTAATTGGGTCTTCTTCTGGGATATATTCCAAGTTCAAATCCTCACCGCTTCCTTTTCTTATTAAATTTAGGTTAGATTGGCAGGAGTGGCAACATATCGGCCAAATGGCAATATTATGATTTTCTTATAGTTATGGCTTATATGGTTTCTGTGTTGTGGGTTAGGAACCTTCTGACAAAATGATATATAGAATATGTTCTAGAGGAGTCGAGCAAATTAGTACTTTTGAAATCCTTGACATAATAAATTGTATTATAAGAGAAATTAATTATATTAATTCTTGCCAGTTCTGCTTTATTTTATAGATTCTCTTGCATATTAACAGAGTTTCAGAAACAATTTTAAGTCAGTTAATTCAGATATCATATTTGTTTGGAGTTAGTATCCTTCTATCAAAATCATTTTGACATAAACATCTGTAATTATAGGATTAAGTCATTAATATATGGGAAAGAATAGGACTGTATGCAACATCAAGCAATCCTTTTTGCTTTTCTTAAGTGGATTTAATTCTGATTCACAAATAAGCTATCTCACTTTAGATCCTTTAAATTAGATTTACCTTTTGAAATCTGCAAGGTTTGTATTATTAACCTGTGTTTACTGTTAAAGAATTTGCTTTGCAGTTCACTAATAATTATATTAGGAATATTATATTATTAAGAAGTCCAAAATTAATTTTTTCAAGAAACTTTTGAATTAGTTGCAGAAGAATATTTGGTGACTCTGTAAAAATGTTGACATATTGTTGTGTAAATTAAGCAACTTATGGCAGTTTGTAAAGGATGATCCTAATCTATATTTAGTTATGTATGCATACATAAGAGACTGGAAATTTATATGCTATATAGCCACAAAATAAATGATTACCATTATTTTAGGTGTTCTTCTGGGCTCATATTTTTCTAAAATTTTAGATTGTTGTACAACTCAAAAATAGAGTTAAATTTAAAAAACTAATTGCCCAATATAAATACTGAGATAATTAGTTGCTATACTACTGTGAGCTAACAGTGCTCATGGCTGGTAAAGAAGTCTTTTTGCATGATCCCATTATGTCTGTTGAGGCTTCCCTCAGCTATGAAATGGTTAGAATAAAAACCACTTGATGCCTGGAAACAAGTTTATACCTTGTTAGCCCAGGCAAGTAACTATATAAAATGTTACTTTCCTGTGATTCGTGGCCAAATGTCCCTGATAATTGATAATGTGCTAGAAATCTATTTTGGAGGTTGTAGTTATAACTTTAAATATTTATTTTCTCTCAAAATATACTCTTTCATTTTTAGGCATTATCCAATTGGTTTGCTATTTGATCTTCTTGCATCAAGTTCAGCTCTTCCTTGGAACATCACAGTACATTTTAAGGTATAGTTTAAATAGCATTTCCCATTTGTCACACTTGTGGTGCTTAGTACGTAGACTTAGAGTAGATTTTTTTTTAAGTGTAATTGTTTATTGCTTTTCCATGACACTTTTTTAATCTCTAAGCTGCCAGTAGTGTTCATCGATAAAACACCTTTCAGTTTGTTCCTAACTGTTGGCAGAACCATTTAAACATACAATGTATAAGTGCCTCTTTTTTGTTGGAACGTAATATACTATATTTAAAATTTAAAATATTCTGCAATATTTATTTGTTAAAAATTACAAATAGGAAGAACAAAATCCTGAGTGTAGAGAGTGGCATCAGAGTGGTGAGGGAGACAACCTAATACCACTGAGTAACTCAAAGGCTGTTTTGATTGAATAGAGAGAGGGGTTAGGAGACAGCATTCTATAGACTTGTTCTAAATATGATTTGAGACTTCATAATTCCTATAGTTTTCAAGACCAGGCTAGATTACTTATAAACTAATTTTGTGTCGATGCTTTTTAAAGTGCTTGTGTCTTTCTTCATTCTCTGCCTCCCAAGCAATTCACAGATGTCACTGAAGGATTGATTCTTAAATACTATGGATACCAGGAGGGAGATATGTTAAGAGTCTGAAAAGTCATCTAGGTGTCTGATTTGCTTATAGGGACACTCAGTAGCAATCACCCAAGGCTGCTCATCCATTTTTCCTAAGATACTTTCTTCATGTTTTATTGAAATTGAGATTTGAGGTTATTGGCATTTATTTTCCTATCATTTGCACTAATGTATTTCTCAATACATTACCCCAGTTACCGTGGAACCTTATAGAGTGGGGATATGGTTCAGATATGCATGGGGTTCAGTTACTCTGGTATGCAACATAGCAAGAACTGCCTGTAGATATAATAACTTAAGTTTCAAATGGTATGAAGGCAAAACTACTCCAAGCATAATAAGGGTAGAAGTTCCAGATTGCCTAACAAGTCTTTCCTGTTATATTAAAAAATAACTTCAGTGATTAAATTATTTGTTTGTATGTGTATGAGATATAGAAATTCATAAGAACAGACTTTGAAATCTTTGTTAAAGTATATCATAGCCATACTCATTAATTTATTCTTTCAGCAAATAACGTGATTTTGCTGTGTGTCAGCCATATTCTTTTTAGGAGCTTGGGATACGCAAGTAAATGACACAAACACACTCAAACACTCAGGCACTTTATGGTTCCTAGCTGGCTCTTCTACAAGCCCTCCCTTATTATTGATTGAATGACTCAATGAATTATAATAATGATAGGGAGAGCTCAGAATGTTTGGATTGGTATAGATTGTTGAATGTGGTCTGTGGACCCCTGGGAGTTCCCAAAACCCTTTCAAGCAATCCATGAGGTCAGATCTGTTTCCATAATAATGAAATGCTATGTGCCCTTTCCAAGGTGTTTACATTTGTACAGATCTACAAAAGTGATGGTGGGTAAAGCTGTTGGCACCATAGCACAAAGCAAGCAGGGCAGTGCACCAAATTGTGCTAGTAGCAGTCATTGTTTTTGTCAACACTACACACTTGCAATGAAAAGAATACTAACTATACCTAAGACTATTCTGGATGAAGCAGTATTAATTACCATTAATCTTGATTCTTCATTACGTGTCTTTTTAATCGCCTATGTGATGAATTGGGAAATATACATAAAGGACTTCTGTATGCCAAGTATAGTGGTTGACTTAAGAAACTACACTTTTGCCTTTGTTTTAGTTACAAGGTGACCAACTTTTTTCATGAAAGAACATTTTTATTTGAGAAGAGTGACTGACACACTGTGGTTATTCAGACTTGGATATTTGTTGGACAGTTTCTTGAAAATAAATGAAGGGAAAACAACTGATGGTATTTATTTCCAGTAATAAAAACTTGAACTTTTAAGTGAAAATTAGAACTTTGGGAAACATCTGTCTGCCACCATAAACTTGACAACTTTATTATTCTTTAGGAATTTTCTCATGATACTGTTGGTCATTTTAACAAGTCTGTTTTGTGATTTTGTATAATAAAATGTGCCAACATTTGGAGATCTACATCAACTCAGATCAACTCAGGAAAAAAATATTTTCCAAATGACCAATGCATGATATTATAAGAAAATACCTGTATGATTATAACTGTGTATTATACCTGTATAATAGGTCTGTAAAAGCACAAGGTTAGAATCAAAGATATTAAGATACTACTACTTTTTCCAAATACATATTTTTTATAAGCTTGGTATTTATATATACTTTAAGGAAAAAAAATTGCAGAATGTTGGATTTAGAAACAAACAAGATAATCCATTTATTTCATGTTAAACTGGATATTAAACATATTTGTAAAACTGTAAAATAATACCTGTTTTTCCTAAATTTTTGCTGACATTCTGAAAAATAGTAATTTTTCATGAAAACAGGAATTTTACGTTAACATGTGATGGGTTTATTTCTGGTATTTTGAAGTGAATTGCTCCTTGGGGTCCTTAGAAGGTCATACATTTTCTTCCCAGATGGAAAGCGAATTAGGAGACATTAAATAGAAAGCAGACTTGTAGAACTAATAAGGAAATTATAGAGGACGTTTCCAATTTGCTCAAATACCAATGTGTTTCTACCAGCTGTTCTTACTCTTTCTGACCCTGGCTATGTTGGAGGAAAATTATTGTCCATAGTTTGTCTATGTACTAGATTCTCTCTTATTAAAGTTATACTGAGGTATGACTTAGCGCAAAGGTTGTCCCCAGGTATGTAATCAATAGTTTATACTGACTGTGTCGGGCCACCTCTGTTGTACTACCTTATGACGTTTGATTGATTATGATGAAACTGAGTAAGCATTAAGTTTATAGTTAGAAAATCAATGCTTCTAGAGTAACAACAGATTTTTTTAAGTTTCTAGAAAATTGTTTATTTTCTTGAAGAATAAACAACTGGGACTACATCATACTACAAAGCTTCTTTACCTCAAAAGAAACCACAACAACAAAAAGTCAGCCTAAGGACTAGGAGAATATTTATTTGCTCGTAACAGTCTGAATGGGGGGGGGGGTGTTAATTTCCAAAATACATAAAGCCTTAGTAAACATACAATTAAGCCTTTTTAGGATCAAAGAGAGCCACCAGGCAGGACAAAATAAACTCAATGAGAAAGAGAATATATCTAGAATTCTTATACTATAATCATATAATCACATTGTTCAGAATGTAATCCATTCTGACATGCAGATAAGCAGGAAAACTTGAATTATATCTAGGGGGGAATATGCTGCTGATAGAAACCAATCCTGAGATAATTAACAAAAAATGAAGCAAAACAACTATTAGAAACTCAAATGACTTAAAATAAAATTTACAAAACTATAGACCTGAAAAGAACAGTATCTGAAATGAAAAAATTCACTGGATTTTTCACAAGAAAGGTTAAGTTTTGGAGATGACGCAAGAAAGACTCTATGAACTTGAAGACAGGTCTATAGAATTATCTAATGTGAAGAACCAAAAGAAGGAAATGAGGGGCTGGGGCAGAGTTCCAGTGACGTGTAGGAAATTGCCAAACTATTGAACATACACATAGTTAGAGTCCCAGATGGAGAGGAGAAAGGACAAATGGTCAGAAAAAAAAAATAATTTTTAAGAATGATTAGATTCACATTTCTTGATTTCAAAGCTGCGGTAATCCAAAGTGTTTGGATCCAGCATAAGGATATGTATATGGATCAATGAAACAGCAGTGAGTGCTTAATGTAAATGTTTACATATATGGGCAGTTGATTTTCTATGTGAAAGCCAAGACAATTCAGTGAGGGAAAGAATAGTTTTCCAACAGATGGTGCTAAGACAACTGCAAAAGAATGCAGTTGATCCCTCTTAAAAAATAAGTGGAATGGATCAAAGACTTAAATATAAAAGCCATAATTATAAAACTCTTAGAAAATGACATAGGAGTAATTTTCATGACCTTGGATTAGGTAATGATTCCTTAGTTATGACACTTAAAAAAAAAAAACAACCAAAGTAAAAATAGATAAATTATATTTCACCAAAATAAATTTTCATTCTTCAAAGGAAGTGAAAAGGCAGCCCACAGAATTTTTATAAAATATTTGCAAGTCAGATATCTAACAAGAGTAGTACACAGCAATTATAATGAACTCTTATAATTCAATAATGAAAAGATAAATAACCAGTTAAAAATGGGCAAAGATTTGAGTAGACATTTCTTCAAAGCTACATAAATAGCCAGTAAGTACATGTAAGGATGCTCAGCATAATTAGTCATTAGGCAATGCAAAGAAAGAGCCCAGTGAGTTGCCCCTTCCTGCCCATTATGATAGCTGTAATCAAATAGTTGGACAGTAACAGGCAGTGGAGAGGGTGTGGACTAATTTGTATTCTTCATATGTTCATGTTAATCTTGGGAATGTAAGATGATGCACCCACTTTGGAGAACACCCTGGAAGTTTCTCAGACAATTAACATCTATTTTCCATTTGATCCACTAATGTCAAATATAGTTATATACCCAAAGAATTGAAAATTTTGTACTGCTATATGCTACAACATAGGTGAACCTTGAAACAACATGCAAAATGAAAGAAGGTAAATAAACAAGATTGCATATTGCACCACTCATTAATAGGAGGTGTCCAGAATACCCAACTCCATAGAGATAGAAAATGGATTTGTGGTTTTCAAGTACTGGAAGGAGGCAGAATGGGAATGATTGCTTATAGGTATGAAATTTCCTTCTGGAATGATGGAAGTGTTATGTAATTAGATAGTAGTGATGGTTTCATAACCTTGTGGATATATTAAAAAACACTGAATTATATGCTTTAAAATATTGAATTTTAAGTAGATTACATATAAGATATCTCAATAAAAAAATAGGTAATTTTCCAAATTTGGAGAAAACATCAATATGTGTGTCCAAGAAGCTCAGCAAGTAAATATATAGAAAACTACACCTAAGCAGATCTTAATTATACTGCTGTAAACCAGTTAAAAATAGAAAATCTCGAAAGTAGTCACAGAAAAATGACACATCATAAAAGAAAACAGTGATGTGAATGATGACTGCTTACCAGGGAAGTTCAAAAGAAATGCAGTGACATTTTCAGGCATTGAAAATTCCTCACACAGTAATTAAGAGCACCAAAATATGCGAATAGTAAATACCTCTTAATTTGTTTAAAAGGGAAATGACTACTTAAAGAATAATAATAATAATAATCTTAAGGCAGGGCTAATGTCTGTAAAATACATGACTGCAATTATATAAGTGTTTGGGCCACACAATCCTCAGTTAGCCATGGATCAAAGAAGTGATCATAAGGGAAATTAAAACTATGTTAACTAAGTTATAATCTTTGAAAGAACATTTTACTACTTTATAAGAGTAAGCCATTAAATTATAGCTTCATATTTTCCCTGTCAGAATGCTGAGTCTGCTGATAGAGATGACTCAACAGTAAAATAGAATAACATTGCTATGTTATTAGACTGGGGGGCTATGTTAGACTGGGGGGCTTAAACAACAGAAACATATTTTCTCATGGTTCTGCAGGTTGGAAAGTCCAAAGTTAGGGTCCAACAGGATTCCATTTCTGGTGAGGTCTCCTCCTGGAGTGCAGTTGGCTGCCATCTCACTGTCTTCACATGGCCCCTTTTGGGTTTGAAGGAGAGTGAGGCATTTCCTTATGTCAGGGAGAGTGAGCTGTGATGTTTCTTTTTATGAGGACACTAATCCCATAGATCAGTACCCCATCTATATGACCTCATTTAATTGCTCCCTTAAAGGCCCCATCTCTCCAAATACAGCCCCAATGGTTTGCTCCTTGAACATGTGATTATTGGGGAGAGGGGAATGAGGGACACAAACTTTGAATCTGAAGTAATAATTATTGGCAACTCCTGTATTTCTAATGGGATGCTATACTTGTGGATTGTGTGGGAAATATTTTCACTAGAGCAAATATTCTCTGCTCTATTGTCTTAATAGAATATTGCAATATTACCAATGATTTGAAAGGCTTTTCTTTCTCCATTTACTTTAAGTGGTTTTAGTTTAGTGTTGTTTAATGTTGTTCAGCTATTTCTACTCTATCATCTATCTCCATTAACATTTTAATTAAAGGACACAAGTAATATCTATGTCCATGGGAACTTTCGATCATTTCTGCAAAATTGAAGTTAGGTTTCATTTATTAGTTATTCTGACTTAGAAGTTTAGTGAAAGCATAGTGTCAAACTCACTACCTTTATTTACAAGAATTTTTTTGGACTGAAAATATTTGTACTTATAATCAACTGCTAATATATGTAAGAGAAGATTAGAAATGTACTGTATTGAATCAAGGGTCTATTTGTAATTTTATTGTGAATCTTTGGAGAAAAGTTTTCTCACCCTCACCCCCAAGTGAATCACAGAAAGAGAAGAACATTATGAAAAGAAGCTAAGGGGGCTTTGACTGAGACATGTGAATTTATACTTGGCCACAATTTATTCAAGACACCCTGACTATCTAAGCAGATACCTTTTGTTGTTGTTGTTGTTGTTGTTGTTGTTGTTATGTCACACTTTCGTTTCCTCCAAGTTAATTTCATTAGAGTTTACCTCTCTCCTAGATAGAGGTAGAGCATTCTCTGTTGAAGGGTAGGTACACAAATATCTGCATTCTCTTGATAGACTCTTTGCTGTAAGAATGTCATTAGTAATTATCAGCTGTCATTAAGGTGTCAGCATTGGTTAAGCTTCCAGACCTGCAAAGCAATGGAAGCGAGGAAGTACCTTCCCTGGCTACAGGAGCCATTGAGCGGATTAGCAGCCTACATGCAGCAACACTAAAAAATGGTGTGATTCTTTTCTCTCACATCTCACACTGAACTTTTGAGTGATTATGTCTCTCTTTTTCTTTTTCATAATCAGGTTGTATGTCTTGAAGTTTTTTTAAAACTTCAAGAGTGTTTAAGGTAAACTAGGCTATCAATACAAACCAAATGACAGTATTATCTTTAGAATATGAGCTTTTATTTTTCTGCAATCCATTCATAACCAAAGTGGATGATTAGCAACATAGTGAATTGTATATCTAAAAAGGCCTTATTTTTTAAATTTATAAATCAGATATATCAAAGTTAAAATTTTCTTAAATAGAAATAACTATCACAATGCTACTAGTCCATATACAATAGAATTGATATGATGTCTAATATTTTGTCCTGGTCAAAAAACTATAACAAATTTCCTTAGTTTAGCTAAAGCAAAGCAAATATAGTTGATTGTTAAATTGATTAACTCAAGGGTCTCCTGTTCCCTCCCTCCCTCCTTCACCCCATCCCATAGCCTCTCCTCATTTAGTTTTACCTTTCTGTCTCATATTCATTCTCCTTTTGCATTTTCAGTTTGATGAAATTTTATATTTTCTCATGTTCTTTGCATCTGTATACCTATGTCTGGAAACATACACCTTAGTTCTTGTGGACTTCTAGTTCAAGAGGATCATGAATGAAATCTTTTTGTACCTAGAGAGTCAATTTGATTGTCTCATCTTTTCCTTCTGCTCCAGGCCACTGTTGCTAGTGGGTAGTTACATAGTGACTCACTTTTTGCTCAGCAGAAACTATGAGATTAGCCTCCATTAGAACAGAAGAAGATATGACTGATAATTTGCATTTAAAGAAAATACACGGTAAGGAATGGCTGTAGGTTGTTGTCAAAGGCTTTTTCTTATGGAGGGAGGGCATCTATTATAAATTTCCTGGTCATTCAGAGCTTTCCATGACTGGGGTAATTAAATGTTGTTTATTAATACAGTAACCCAAGCAGACTAGAACTAAATGCTATTTTCTGACATTATTTGACTCAGTGAAATCTGCATTAGTCATCTCATTTACATAACTGCTCAGATGTCTAATGATCATTGCCTCAACTGACAAAAAAAAAATTCAGTGAAAGTATAGGAAGTAGATTAGCTGCTTGAGCCTAAAAGCTATATTTTAGCAACTTTATTAAGGTCTGATTGACCGATAGCCAATTATACTATTAAAAGTATACATTTTGGTAAGTTACCATATTATTACCATAATTTTTATATTCATTGATTTGTTGACATTTTTTGACTGGTTTCCTCTTGGTTTTTTTGTTTTTGTTTTTGTTTTTGTTTTGTTGTTGTTGTTACAAATACAAATACATTGCATGCCCCTGACATGCAGTGGTGTCAAATTAATTATAGTCAGTAAAACTTTACCCTGAATTTTGAATATTGATCTTCTCCCGGGCTGGTGATGCTGTGTGATGCTCTCTTGTGACATGGGGCAGTGGCAGCTCTGTCAGCCACACAGTCAGGAGAGTAAACAGCTGATGCTCTATAGACTATTACTCACTTTCAGTACATTGTTCAATAAATTATGTGGGCTATTCAACATTTATTATAAAGGAGGCTTTATGTTAGATGATTCTGGCCAATTACAGGTTTTTGTAAGTGTGAGCACTGTTAAGGTAGCCTAGGTTAAGCTATGGTTTTCGGTAGTTTAGATGTATTAAATGCATTTTTATATTCTTCACCAACAATGAGTTTATCAGGATGTAACCATCATAAATCGAGGAAAATCTATGAAGCTGCTGTGAACATCATGTTCAAGTCTTTGTGTGGACATATGCTTTTATTTCTCTTAGGTGAATACCTAGTTGTAGGATGACTGGATCAGATGGTAGGTATGTTTTTATCTTTTTTAAGGATACTACCGAACTCTTTTCCAAAGTGATTGTGCCATTTTACATCCTCACCAGAGTGTATTCCATTCCACATTCTTACTAATACTAGGTATGGTCATAAAGCTAGTTTTCAATTTAGTGTTGTTTCATATCTTTTTTCATGTTGTTGTAAACCATTATTATATTATATCAGGATGAATATGCCAGAGAGCTAAGGATTTTTAACCTAATTTAAAAGTTATATTGGAATCTCTTTATTGGAAAAGTAAGAGATGATTTGCTAAAAACACCAGCAAAGTGGGGACAATACAATTCTTTAAGAAGCTAGTTTAGTAATGTATGTACCTATTTTATGTGTGTTTTTTTTTTCCTTTAATAGAGTTTTCCAGAAAAGGACCTTCTACACTGTCCCTCTAAGGATGCAGTTGAAGCTCATTTTATGTCTTGTGTTAAGGAAGCTGATGCTTTAAAGCACAAAAGTCAAGTAATCAATGAAATGCAGAAAAAAGATCACAAGCAACTCTGGATGGGATTACAAAATGGTAAATATAACATTGTTTAATTTCTGACTATACCACTTTACCTAGTATAAAGTAACTATAATTGATGGTACAAGTTTAAAATCTAGGCTCTACACACAAAAATTTGCAAAGACACTCCCTTTAATTATTGCTTACGTTGTACTCTTCCAATATTCTTCTTTTCCTGGATTCCCTATTATTAGACTGATTCCTTTATCCATTACCATAAGACAGTATAAACTTCTTAAACTTCCTGTGTTTAATTTTTGGAGAAATTTCCTTTACTTTTAGTCACTGTCCTTCTGGAATCACAGGAGAATCACTGTGTGCATACAAGAGTAGCTCTACTTGGGTTGGGTATCAGCTCTAACCTTTCTTTGCTTTTCAGAACAGTAAGACTTGCTTTGTGCTTATATTCTCTCTTGTAGCTGGAATTTAGAAGATGTACTCAAGGAAAAAGCTGAGGGGAACCTGTAACTCGCCTCTGTATTCTCTATCTTTTAGATATCGGAGCTCCTCATTCTTGTCTGCATTGATTGCCCTCCAGTGCCTTCTAACAGTTGTTCTTTATATAGGAAGTCCTTGCTTTTACGTGGATCCACTGTGTGTGAATTTCAGTTAACATACTTAAGTTAAATAATAACAGTCCCCCAGCAATGTGTTTCAAATTTCATTTGCTATAGTATATTCTGTGAATAATTACATAAAATACAAACTTTTAAGTCCATGAATCATTATAAAACAGCAGATAATACATCATTATTGGTGACTAGTCATACCCCTTCTTTCACTGTCAGTGAATAAATAAGTCATTATGTATCTTTTAGTTCACCCACAGACAGCAAAGTATGTAGTTGTGTTGCCTGCTTGTCTCCAGTAAAAATCCCACATAGCATTTTTCTAAAGAGGTATTCTAAAGAGGAAACTATCCAACAAAGATGAAAGTGTAACAAAGAAATGCAAAGTGATAATGCTGGTTGTGAAATTTGAATGGGATGTAATGAAATTATAGAAGAAATAGGTGACAGTGGGAATGTTGAAACTATCATCACTTAAGAGACGGGAATTTAGTGAAGGCAGACTTTTCACAAAAAATGTGGAAAGTAGTTGTGACAAAAGGGATGCAGTTATCCCAGAGGAAGTGATACTAGCAAAAACTTTGTCTATAAGGAGAAGACATTTTGTGACTTTGAAAGTTCACTTATTAGATGTTGATCCAGACTTAGAAAAGAACTTGACAACTACCCAAGGTTTAGGAAAAATGCTTGCTCTTAAGTTATACATCAGGAAAGCAAGCACTATTGAAATGATGCTCAAGTTATTTTCACAATGAAATAAGACACATTCTCATTTTTTTTTGTTTGTTTGTTAAAGATTTATTTATTTATGCATACAAGAATGGAAGTACAAGCCCGATGTGGGGGGGGAGAGGATTCACCAGAGACAGAGTGGGGAACGGAACAGGCAGATCCACTGAAATATACTGCTGAGGGGAGCAGCGGGCGAGTCAGAATTGGTTTGCTACGCCATGTGGGTTTCTCCCTGGCCAGGTATCTATCTTGTGCTGCATTGGTTGCGATTAGCTTCATAGGTTGTGTCTTAACCCTTTGCGCCACCAGGGAGGCCCTGTTTCTAATGTTTTAAATTACGTGTACTAAATAGTTTTATTTAGTTTTTCCCTTTCATGTACATTTATAGCCAACAGTTTTCAATGTTTTAATGATTTTTTTTGGAGATCACGGGATAATCATAAATAGTCCCTTTCGTTATTAAGTTCCCACTGCACAGTTTCATATTGTATGCTCACTTTTCTAGTCCCACACTACTGTGCAAAGTAGGGCTGTCTGTAATTTGTCCTTTGATAGTTTTTTTTCAATCAGGGAACTGTCCAGTATAAACTGACAATAACTAGAATAATCTACTAGAACCTCCCCATCCCCCAGTTTTTTAAACAGGTATCATCAGGTTTTATCTTTTGGTTATGTTATTACCAATACAAAGAGGTATTTATAGTTATTTCGTACATATTCAACTTTTATTATGCAAAATATAGATCAATATCTGTTACTTCAGTAGTACAAAATGTTCATTTTATGAATATGAATACTGTAAATTAAATGTTCTCATTTCTTCTGTGTTTCTTGGGTTTGACCTGAGTTACACGGATTTTTGTTGTTGTTAGCTACCTCTCATATTTCTCAACTAGATTATGAGGTTCAACAAAGGCAGTTCCCAGGCCTTTCACCTCTTTTATATTACTGAGTACATAAATTCTTATTAAATGATTAAAAGAGTTCAGCCCCTTAAGTAGGTGTATTTTTTTTCCTTTTTCTCACTGTTTGAAGATGAAGTGGTATTTTAGAAGACTTTTGAATAAGAAGGTCATTTAAAAGGAAGAAGACAAGAATCTTTTGATGAGAGATAGATTTGAGAATCACTGGGTTTCAAAATTGAAGTAAATAATTTAAATGGACACTTAAGTAGATGTTCTTGAAATGTATTGTGAACATGCTGATTCTGCTATAGAGAGCTCAGGATTTAGCAGAAGTTCTAAAAATGAGATGTTTCAGTTGGGGCATTGGAGGATTGGGTTTAGAGGATGATGGTTAAGAGTTGTGAAAAAGAACAAAGGCCTAATTTAGTCACAGCTCTACTAATAACTCCATAGGGCAAGTCCCTCAACTTCCTTTGTAAAACAAGAGAATATCTGTCATGTTCTTACTTTTATGTGTCTTTAGAGGCTTTAATGAATCACTAACACAGTTTATGTGAAAGTGTTTGAAAAGAAGTAAGGCTGTCTTGATAAAAAGAGTTTTTTACAAGTCATTTTGGGACTCTAGAATGGAGCTTGGCAAACAATGGTCACGGGCGAGTTGCTCTTATTGCAAAGAAAGTTGTATTTGAATCTGGCCACACCCATTCATTTATGTATTGTTTGTAGTGGTTTTCACACTACAATGGCTGGGTTAACTAGTTGTGACAGAGACAGACCAGGTCACCCATAGTCTAAAATATTTACTATCTGAAAACATTTGCCAGTTCACAGAAGATTGACCAAGCCAGCAGCTCCTTTTTATCACTGATCAAAAAGCAAGACTTAAAATGTTATCTATTCAGAACTTAGTATGACTTGATGTATCAGACTTAGTTTAACAGTTGCCAGATATTTTATTTGGTGGTATATCATTGCTATATTTTGGCATAAAATTACTTTTTCCTATTTTTGTCTTAGTTCTTACTCTTTCTTAGATATATCACTGTTATAAAGTTTTTATTGAGTTTAATTCTATTGAATTACTTTTCAGGTTGAAGCTCATTATCTGACTTAAAATGTATGTGGTTAAAATATACTTTATTCCAGGGAAGCAAATAATGTTTAAAAATGAACAATGATGTAAAAAAATAAAAAATAAATAATTTAAAAAAAAGAAAAACAATTATGGTAAAAAAATTATACTTTATTCCATTTTTATTTTTAGCTATAAGCTATTTTTGTAGATATGTTTGATTTTGCTTGTACTGGTAACGATCGTTCTTCCACACAAGATCTTATGAGTGGTATCTTATAGATGGATATTAGAGACCTTGTTAGTTTACCTCTACTTTTAAAAAATTAAAATATTCACTCAGGAGATCTTCAGCTGGGTAAAAGTTGTTTGTAGAAAACACATTTTGGGGCAAAATAGTGAATATTACCTAGATGGGGGTAAATTGGTGAAAGTTGGGTGCAGCTACTCACTCTGCTCTTTCTTCCTAGAATGCCCTCTCCTTCCCTTTTTTGCCTACTTAAGTCCTACTTATGATTTCATGCTCATTTCTCCTGTCATCTTCTGTAAAGCCTTCCCTCTTTTATTTCGTTAGCCAGAAATATTTATCAAACCCACAACTACTGCCTGGCACTATCCTAGGAACCTAGGGATCATCCAATGAGAATAGAACAGGGAATGACCCTGTCTTCATGGAACTTACAGCCCAGTAGAGATGGAACTATTTTTGTTTTCATATTCTCATAGTTCCTTGTCCATTTATAAGCATTTTTACTCTCATATTTTATCATACTCTGGTGTAGTTATGGTTTATATATTTCTGATAAATATAAATTTCTCCTGGCTAGAGTGTATAGCATGTAGTATAGACACAGGCGTAGAGTAGATGAAATATTGACTGAAATAATTTCTTTGTTCCTTCCTAGTACTACAAAGAAATAATACTAGCAACTTTTTACAGCTTATCACTATAAAATAAGGACAAGCACCTTTTACTTATGGAAATAGATTTTATGTTTAAGAATTTTTCCATCCAAAAGAAGGTGTCAAAGATATTTCACCTTTTGAATAGTATAATTGTAATTGGTCAAAATTGAGACATAGCAACTAGTAAATTTATTTCATTCAGAACTGCACCTGTAGAGCACAGCAACTGAACAACAATTTAAACAATGTTTGAATACTTTCAAATGCTAATTTTAATTTTTCAGATCTCTGTGAAAGAGAAATAAGAAAAGCTTTTGAAACCAAGAAAACTCATTTAAGGCACACTGTGCCTTTCAGTGTTTTTTATGAGTTTTCATTTTAAATATAAAAGTAACCTCCTCATCAAAAAAATTAAGAAAAGAAAGTAGCGTTTTTATTACTTACGAGGCAGTTGTCAGTGTATGTACAAGCTCTACTCTATTAAATGTCAAGCTGTTTTTCCATTATAAACTAGTGGTTTGAGGAAACGGCTAAGAAATATTTTTAACATAATCTATGACTTCGTTTTCAGCTTTAGTTTCCTAAGTACACTGAGAAAGAAAAGGTAGTATTTAATGAATTCCATAGTCTTTCAAATAAATGTAGGTTTGACTGCTAAATATGATTTAAAAAATTTGCTATTTTCAAGTATGGTTAATTTTTTTGAGCTGAGTAACTTTTTATAGAAATTACCTATTTTATTTGGTAGTAATCAGTTTAACTTAGTACTGGCTTTTATGAAGAAGTTAAAGGTGATTTTTATAACAAGTCAACATTTTGAAAATACTT